ACACTCTGCCAGTGTCGCAGCTGAATTTGTTTCATTAGTGAACCCAGCTGCACACAATTCTGTTCTATTGCTGACAAGCCCTGGATTTATAGAACGTGATTTGAAATCATGAACAGGGGGAAGCAGGACTTGCTTTAAAACAAGATAGGTGTGAGTCCCTGCGTGGAGCCCTCTGCAATGGATCTGCCATGCTGGAACCCCTGGGAATTCCAGTTTTCCTGGGAATGCACATCTGTGCCCACTGGTTCCCAGCACCTTGGGGGTTAATTTGCCCCTTGGCAGCACCATCACCACCCCAGCATTCCAAACCAAACAAAGGCACTCCCAACACTGCTCTCCATCATTTCTGCTTGCCTGGCTCCTTACACATGGCAATTCATGGGGCTGGCCCAGGACTGGTGAGCCAGGTCAGGCTGATTTACCTGTCCAGGTAATTCCTACCTGTCCCAAAGGACAGCTGAGCCAGGGTGAGCCCGAGAGCTCCCACACAGCCATGGGCTCTCTGTAACACAGGAGCCCCTACAACCCTCCCACCCATGCTTTGGTGATGCCCAGGCTCCACTSAGATCTGTGTGCCACTTGGCTACTGGATTTCACCAGGCATTGTGCTGCAGGAAAAAATAGGACTGCAATCAAAGGTGGTTCTCTTCTYGCAGGCATCCTGTAATTAGCTCAAGTTTTCTTTTTTTTCATAAAGAGGTCTTGATGCATAAACCAAAAGTTTCCTCTTCCTTGCATGTTGCTGCCAGATGTTTTTGCAAAGCTTCAAAACAACTAAGTTGTTTGTGTGTGCTTGCACATGACTTCACCCCAAGCCTGTCACAAAGTGCTCCTCGTCATCAATTAACCCAATTAATCCCTCTCTCTCTTCCCCCACGTTTCTGACCAGTGCATTTCACTCTGTCTGTCCCAGCACTTTGGAGTTTCAGCCCTTTGTYRCAGATCCCACAGRAATGGGAYGAGCTCCAAGGTCCCTTCCAACCCAGGCCATTCCGTGATCCTTTAAGGGGAAGGAAAAAAGGGATTTGAAATGAAGCAGCTCAATACCTGCAGAGAGGAAGGAGCTGGAAGGGCAATGGCATCAGGAGGAACTGCAGAGCAGCTCATGGAGAGGTGAAGGACCTGGTGGGAAATCAAAGCACTAAACAGAGCACAACAGACAAGGGCTACCATGGGAAATACATGAAAAAGCACAAAAAATACCAAGATATTAATCTGAGGAGGAGGTGGGAGGGCATGGCACAGCCTCAGGCTCTGACTGACCACAGCTAATGGCAAAAGCACACTTGGACTGAGCTCAGACCCCGAGTTCCCCCACCAAACACGTGCGGGATGCTGTGATGTCCTGCTGGAGAAGCAGCAGCTCCTGAGCTGTGGAGCCACAGCTGGGGAACATCCTCATCCCATTTTGGCTTCCCTATTGCAAAACGATTGACAGGCTGCAGGCCCTGGCCRAGGGACTCTGATGGATATTCAAGAATTAAGCAGAATTACTCACAAGCTGATAGGAARCAAAACTGAGCTCCTTACAAGGCAACCAAGATCTTCAAAGATTTGGCCTTGGAAGAGCATTAGACACTGGGCATGTCACTGCCCTTTTGTGAGAGACAGCAGATTGCAGAGGGAGGAGCAGCTTTTCCTATAAAGCTCTGCTTTACACRAGCTGTCTGTGGCACAACTGTGGAATTGATATTTCATAGGAAAAGGCAACACTACCCTTATTTTTGGAAGTACTTCCAAGTAGGCTTAAGGACTTTATGAGTTGCTGTGTGTGGATTCCATGCAGCCTTTATTCCATAAGTGCAAATTCTCATCTTTCCCCGTGTGACTCCACATCTGCACTGCCTGTGCCTCACACTCTGCACGCTCCTGTCACAGATGTGACAGATCCCCTCATTTCCAGGTGCCCCCACTGTCCATGCTGACCCCAGGGAGGTTCATCTGGCAGCCACAGGAGTTTTCTTTGGTGACTCAGATGTTCTTTCTGACCTTTGGAATGCTGTACACAAAGCTCAGAGTGGCTCCTGCTTCTATGAATTGCCCGATCTCCTCTTTGAGAGCCATAATTATGTTTTAATGATTTAATAATATTCTCCACTTCTGTATTTTAATGTCTATATTTAGTGTTTGTTAAGGTCAAGGCTCGTTATCTCTGCAGTATTATTACATTGTGGCATAGGAATGTGCAGTCATTTATAGATTTTTGGAAATCTGTAGTATGGCAATTGGCACTGCCCTCCCTGTGGCTCCCCAGGATTCTGGGGGTGCTGAGCTCCCACCAAACCTGCAGCTACTTGAAAAAAAAAATCACAAGTTTGTTGAAGCCCAACTTATTTCATGCATTTTTATAAACTAGCAAAGATGAGTTGTATTTWACCCTGGCCATCATCACATAACACATTTTAAGTTGTTATGCTCTGGGTATATATTGATGTTGTAAAACAGGCAGAACACGCAGCTTATCAGGCTGTGCATTACATTTATTTTTACAGGGTAGGGGTGTCCTAGGGAACGTTTCTGTCTGAAGGAGAGGGAAGTTGGGTTGTTCAGCCCCAGAGGACAACTGTGTGAGACCACAGAGGTTTGTGCAGCACYAGGGGAGCCTCAGGCACAGGAGAGCCCCTCCATCACTGCCCCGGGAGCGCTCCGGGCTCCTTCTGGCTCAGCCCGTTTGGAGATGGAGAAAGGAAAATCAGTAACATTCTTTTCCCAGTTTTACAGAGCGAGGCAGAAAACATCTGCCATTCTGCTCCGTTCAATACTAACCCTTTCAGAGGGGTCAGATCCCGGGGGCAGAACCCTTGCGGGTGCGGCATTGTGCAGACCCGGAGCGCCTCCAGCGCGGGTGGAGCTGCGGATCCAAACTCAGAGGATCCCCAAAACGGCTTTGGGCAGAGTCCTGCTGCTCTGAGCAGCGAGGGGGAACAGCCCTGGGCAGGGGAACGGGAACAGCCCCGGGCTGAGCGCTCTGCCTGCCCGAACACCCCGGGACAGCCGGAGCGAGCTCTGCCCTCCGCTCCCGCTGCGGAGCTGAGACCCGGGCTGATGCTGGGGGACAAATCCACAGAATCACTGAATGTTTGGGTCGGAAAGAACCTCAAAAGTCACCTCACTCTCACTCCCTCTCCCGGGCAGGGACACCTTCCAYTGTCCCAGGCTGCTCCAATGTCCAACCTGGCCTTGGGCACTGCCAGGCATCCAGGGGCAGCCACAGCTGCTCTGGGCACCCTGTGCCAGGGCTCCCCACCCTCACAGGGAACAACAAAAATCTGTATAATAATCTAAAACTGGGTCCTTTTGGATCAAAGATGACATTAAGATACAGAATTATCCATTAGAGAAGGAGTGTCCTACCCATTAGTGCACAAAACCAGCTGTAATTAACCATCTGAACGGCTGTTTATAAACAGATGTTCTCATCGAAATGTCTTAGAAATAAACAGCTTTGTTATTCCCGTTTCCCCAAACTACAGAAGGAGCTACAGCTCTCCTCCACAGGCTGATATTCTCCCACATGTACCCGAATATTTAGAGGCAGGAGAGGTCCCCAAAAGCAAGACAGTTTCTGCAGCAGAACCTTCACAGGGCAATAGTGTAAATTTTCCAGGTTTAGTCCCTGGAACACTTTAGGATTTAATGCTTTGAGAGACATCGTTGCCTTTACAGAACAGCCAGGACCTCTGCAACACCCCTGCACTGGTGACAGAGGTTTCACAGGATCTGTGAACACTCTGACTTCTGCTATTCCGGTTCCCTCGCATAGGAAGAAGAGTTTCCTGAGAGCTGTAAATCCATTGCATCATCCMAAATGCACCACAGTTTTGAGGGCTGCTTTAAACACATCTTTCAAAAATGGGGAAGAGCTATGATTTGTAGAACTCTTTTTCATACTTGTGGGGAAAAAGACTAATGTTAAGCTAACATTGTGTGCATGTGTTTTGCATTTTAAAAGTAAAACAACAGCTTCCAAAAGTCAATGTGGTCTGGAAAAAGCTTATGACTTACATAAAAAAAAAAAAAAAGAAAGACGGCACATAATTGTGCTGTAAAATCTGATCATCTTGTCCAACGCCCTGCCAAGGCAGGTTCACCTGGAGCAGGTCACAAAGGAACACATCCAGGGGCTTTGGGATGTCTCCAGAGAGGGAGACTCCGCATCCTTCCTGGGCAGCTGTTCCCGGACCCTGCCACCGGCCGTGGAAGGAACTTCTTGCTCACGTTGAGGTGGAACTTGCCATGTTTGAGGTTATTGCTCCTCGTCTGTCACTGGCAGCACTGGACAGAGGCTGGCACCATCCTCTGGCATCCCTGGAGATGTTTGTAGGGATTGACGGGACCCCCTCAATCTCCTCCGGACTATCCCAGCCCAACTCCGGCAGTGTCTCCTCCATCAGGAGGGTGCTCTGGACCCCTCAACACCTTCGTGGCCGCAGCTGGACCCTTTCCAGCAGCTCCTCGTGTCTCTGGTACCTCGCAGAGCGGAGCCTGGAGCTGGACACGGGCTGCAGCCGTGCCTGCGCCGGGCGGAGCGGGAGCATCGCCGCTGCCGTGCCCTGCCCTGCCCGGGCCCGCTGCACTTTCCCCGCTCGGCCAACAGGTCGCACCGTTCCCCCTTGGCTGGGGCTGCCCCGGAGCCGGGCGGGCGGCGGGGCCGGAGCCGGGCACAGCACGGCACAGCACGGCACGGCACAGCAGAGCAGAGCAGAGCACAGCAGAGCAGAGCCGAGCCGGGCCGGGCCGAGCCGGGCCGGGGCGCGGAGCAGGCGGCAGCCGCGGCCGCCCCTCGCCGAGCCCGCGGTCTCCACTCCCTCTCCACGTCGGGGAGGCGGAGGGAGCGACAGAGGGAGGGGAAGGGGAGGAGGCGGCCGCCGCCGTCCTCCATTTTGTGGCGGGGGCAGAACCGCGGAGCGCGGCGCTGCCCGGCGGAGGGACGGGGCGGGGAGCGCGGGGGGGCGAGCACCGGCAGGCAATTAGCGCTAATTAGCGGAGGGGGCGCCGCGGCGGCGGGCGGGGACGGGTCAGGGTCTGGGGCCCGCGGGAGGAGCAGCGGCAGCGGCCGGAGCGGCAGCAGGAGCGGGAGCTGCGGGGGGAGCGGTGCCGCCGCGTTCGCGGCCCCCGGAGGGGCGGCTGTTGATCCCCCGGCCGGCTGCCGCCCCCGCCGCGGGTGCCATGGCCCTGGGCGGCTGAAGAGCCCCAGCGCCCTCCCCGGGACGAGGTAAGGGCGGCGGGGGTCCCGCGGGGTGCTGCCTTCCCCCCGGGTACTTGGCGAGGGGGGTGGCGGCGGTCCCCGCAGGAATGCCCGGGGCGGGGGGAGCTGAGCCGAGCCGAGCCG